TAAATTTAATAAAGAAAATAGCTATTTAATAAAGCATAAAACAGTTTGAAAGGGGTAATCAATTTTAATAGTATTAAAAACCGCATATATACATTTAAAAAATCAAACATAACACGAAAATAATAAGTGAATGCTTTCATAAATTTAAGAATTTATATACTGATTTTGTTTTATAAATTAAATTGTATATGTGAAGAGGGGTTTCAAATTCTAAATATAAAAAAAAAAATATTAATATTACATTAAAATTAAATTGATAATGCATTCAAAAACTAAAAAAATTCCTATTGAAGCATATTTAATGCATTTAATTGTATTAAGTGAATTTTATTTTACAAAAATTATTGGAATAAATTATTTCAAAATTATTAACTATAGGATAATGTCATTTGATATATCAAAATTTGCAAAATTTTATAATATTTTAATACATTTTATAATAACAATTTTATGTATATTAAATTTAATTTATAATCGTCATGATAATTTATCAATAAATTTTAATAATAAATTTTTAAATTTCGGTCGTGAATTAGGTATTAATTTAAGATTAATTGGTTTAATATCGAATTTTTTAATACATTTTATATATTGTCGTAAATTTAAAAAAATTTATAAAACATATTTTCAAAATTTAATTATTATTTCATATAATTTAGATAATCATATTTTATCACAAAAATATTTAATTAATTTTTTTATAAGTTGTATTATTTTTATAATTAAAATTATAACAACTGGATTTTTTATAAATGATATTTTATTAAATTATAATTGGCGACATTATTTAAATTCATTTATTGGTTTTATAACACAATTTTTAATTGCAAATTCATTATATACATTTTTTTATTTAACAATGAATCAATGGTATTTTTTTCAAATAATAAATTGTAAATTAAAATTTATAATTAAAATTTTAATTAATTTAAATAAAATTAATATAATAAATAATTATAAGAAAATTATATTATTAAAAAAATATATAAAAATTTATAAATTTATTGAAAAATTACGTAAATTTCATTTAAAAATTTTTAAAACAATAAAATTTATTAATTTTTTATATCAATTACAAATTTTTACAAGTTTAATTGTATGTATGATTTCAACTCTTATAACATTATTTTTTATGTATAAATTTTGTCCATATTCAAATTCATTTTTTACAAAAATCAATTTAATTTTATTTAATATAATTTTAATATGTGAAGTTTTACATTCGTATTTTGGTGCAAATATGTCATTTGATAGTTCAATACAAATACATAGAACAATAATTGATTTATATTTTTTACCATTAGAATTAAGAAACTATGAGAGAATTGATAAAATTTTTCATAGTTTCCAAAGAAATGTAAGTTTAAATTTATATAATTTTTTTAAAAATTTTATTTTTTAAATTGTAAAGCCATTGTAAACTAAATTTTTATTTGAAAACTTAAAGTATGTATTTAATTTTAACTATGCTATTATATCGAGAATTATTGACCTTTCCCTTTCCAATATGGAAAATTAAAATCAGATTTCAACATGATCAACAGATTTAACATTACGCAGATATTTGTTTATTTAAGATTTATTAACAATTGACACCTTCAACAATAACGTTGTGCCAAATAGATTTTGCTTAACATATCAAGTTTTATTTTGCAGCCAATAAGGCAAAATTTTAGGCAATAATTATTTAAAAGCAATTTCCTTATCGAATATTGTAAAAACGCTACAAATTAAAGAAAATAAATTGAATTTCAGGTGAAAGTCGGTTGCACCGATTTTAATGAATAATATTCTTTTTTTTTCCATTATTTTAAATAGAAAATTAAATATAGTTTATTAAGGAAAATGTAAATAAGAATTTCATAGTTCAGAAAATTTTGATTATTTATGTATATACATTATACGTATAAAATACATTCATGAATATTTAATCAAAATGTGATTAGTAGTAATTGCATATATGCTTTTAGGTCCAACCCAATTTAATTTCTTAAAATTTTTTATAAAATATTACAAACAATAAAAATTTTGGAATAAAAAGTAATTTATAACATATTTTATCACACATATATCCGTACATATATTCAAAAATCTAATATTGATTTGAATTTTTATTAAGAAAAGAAATAGAAAATTGTAAATTTGTTGAAAATAATTTCTTGTTACCGAGAGAACTACATGCAATAAAATGTTATAAAAATTTACTTTTTATAATTTGTTCTAGTTATAAAATTTTGAATTTATATTGATAGAAAATATATATTGAAGAAGAAACAAATTAAAATGAAATTATTAAATTTTAAAAATATAAAAGAGGCTTATATAATGAATTGCTTAATTTTATGTGGGCTTTATTTTACAAAATTACTTGGTGTTAATTTCATTGTAACAATAATTAATCAAAAAATAACAAATAATAAATTAATTACTTCAAAAATCTTAATATTTTATAGTACAATCATTCATATAATATTAATTATTTTATGGTTATTTGATAATATTTATTCACCACGTGACAATATGATAATAATAATAAGAAGTCAAACATTAATAATTTGTCGTCGAATAATGGTTAATTTAAGAATAATTGGTATTTTAACAAATTTTATATTACAAGCAATTAATTATAATAAATTTATTTTAATTATAAAAAATAATTTAAGTTTAATAAAATTATTTTCATTTAATATTAATAATCGTAAATTAAGTCAAAAATATATTTTGCAAATGTTATTAATATTTTTGATATTATCTGTAAAAACATTTATTTTACCATATTTTTTTGGTAAATTATTTCGAAATAAAAATTTTAAACATATTATAAATACATTTTTTGGAATTTTTGCTCAATTTCTAATTTGTAATTCATTATTTCTATATTATTTTTTAATGTTAAATCTATGGTATTTTTTTGAAATTATTAATAAAAAAATTTTACAAATTTTTATGAAATTCGAAAATATTGAACGAGAAAGTATTAATTTAAAAAATGAAATTGATTTTAATAAAAAATATGAAAAACTAAATAATAATTTTGAAAAATTACAAAAATTTTCTTTAAAAATACAAAAAAAATCGAAAAAAATTAATTCTTTATATCAATTACAAAATTTATTAACAACTTTATTATGTTTAGTGACGACAATATCAATTTTATTGTTATCATATAAAATTTTTTATAAATTGTACTCATATTTAACATTGTTACGAATATTTGGATTCAATGCAGTTTTAATAATTGAATTAATGCAATCTTATTTAGCCTCAAATAGTCTTATTGAAAGTGGAAAAAAATTATATTTAAATTTAATGAATTTTTATTGTTTATTTTTATTTCGAAAAATAAGAAAGTGTTCGATATTGTCGCATTATAAAATATTTGAGAAAAATGTAAGTGTTTATCAATGTTGTATTATTTTTTTTTTTTTGGTTAAGACAGCAAAACTTGGTAGGCTGATAATAGTGGCCTAGATTGCTGCTATAATTATTAACCCCCTATATATTATCACCGGACTAATTCAAATCTTGCTATTAATTTGGCACGTACGATCACCAGTCAAATTTAGCTTATTTTGTCAAATAATTGGTTTATATTGCTAATATGGATTTGATGTGACTGTTTCCTTAAACAACAATATTCGGAAAAAGGATCTTCCGAAAAATACGACAGGCACATGAAATGTTAAAAGCCAATCTTGATCTACAATTGTGTCGATACAGGATAATGTTCTGCGGAAAAAAGTTACCAAACAGACTAATAGATCTCGCCAGCAAATTTATAATGTTTTTTTTTTCGTATTTTGGGTTACTTTTTTTCGCCAGTCCCGAATGCGGTTACGCCTCTTTACACTGAGAAGTAAAATATGTTCTACTTTCAAATTATTTATACCCATTCGGATTTTAATAGTTTTTAAATGCTTACTACGCTCACTTCGTGATAGGTTCTAGTGATCTAAAATGGGTTAAAATAATAAAGGTTTTATAACATAGTTATCTCACTTTCGAGAATAGTTTAATTTTATATAAGAAAATATATTTTATATATGTCAAAACTGTTGAATGACTACTTCGGGTTTTTAAGTCGTCTTGAGAGCATTGAAGGTCGGAACCGTATTATTTTGCATAATATTCATAATGAAGTTGGAGTTGATTGTTTAACCTATCTACTTCTGTACTTCTAATTAAACTTGCAGGTTTTCTTCTATAAAAATAAATTTTAATTCCTGATTATTTAATTTTTTTTAATTTGCTATCCCTGTAAATTTAAAATATTGATAAACGAATTTTAACACTGCTTTGATTTGCTTAAAGTAAAGTATACCACATAACAATTAATTAATATTAAACTTAAATTAATAGTAAAATTTCTGAAACGTATAAATTAAAATTTAAAATGATTGTAATCGTCATTTAAATACCAAATATAATTATTACATATTTTTATTTTCACACATTTCAATAATAAAATTAAATTAATAAATAATTAAAATTAATTAATTTATTTACATGTTATTTTTTCTATATTGATTATTTTTCTAGAACAGATTGAAATTTTTACATTACAAGTTATTTTGATGAAACCTAAATTTACAATATTTGGAATGTATTCATTAAATAAGAGGGTAGTGTTGCCAGTTATATCAACAATGTTAACAACATTATTTGTTTTAATACAATTCGAACAAATGTATTTAGAAAAGGAAAATGCAAATTTAATAAATAAAAGTTAATAAATAAAATGTTTTTTTTTTATTATAATAGTTTGTAAATTTTGTTAATCGTAATATTAATAAAAAATTAAAAAACTTTCAAAGAAAAATAAAAAAATTATTGCATTTTATAATTGTGATTTTAAAAATTTTGCTGAAATGTGAACAAGAAATAAAGTTGGTACCATAAAATTCTCATTAGGAATTTGTTAAAATAAAATATTCAGTAATTTTTTAAAATCCCTAATAAATTTTCATAAAATAGTGTACGGACCTTAATATTTTACTTACCCTATTGGAACATAAATGTCTACTAAGTCTCCTAAATTGTGCATTTAACAGCCAATATAAAAATGGATTCCAAAAACTATTGCTTAATGCAGTCCATGTTACAAGAAAATCTAAGAAGGGAGGAAGCTGCAATATAAAAATTAAAAAAAAAAATTAATATTAGTTTAATAGAAAAATAAAATTAAAATTAAAGTTATTTTATAGTTATTGAGTCTATTTTCTTGAGAGTACGATCATTGTTTTGAATTTCATGGACAATATACAAAAGATTTTTAGTTAAAAGTTCTATGATACTTAATTAATTTATAAACAAAATTACAGGACGAAACAAAAACCGTTCCGTCGGAGCGTTAGACTACGTTTATTAATTAAATAGAGAAACTTACACATTATGCAAAATAAATAAATTCAACGAATTAATTTTTAAAAAGATTAAATATTTTTACAAATTTATTATTAAAAAATTAATTCTGTACAGCAACCCTAAATATGATTAAAAATATTAAATTAATTCTTTCTAATATAAAAATTCTCTTGCAAAAATCACGTTCTTAAATTTAAAATTGTTAGAAGAAATTTAATATTTTTATTTATTTTATAAAATTTTAATAATTTTCTCTAAAAATAAAATTATGTGACAAATTTTTTTTTCTACATTTTACACAATTCTTATATAGTTTAGTTAAGAAAAATGACTTTTATTCATCATAATTTTTTGGTTAGATTTCTGTTCGTATATTAGCAGCGGCAAATAAAATAAATGACAACAACAAGTAAAATTTTAACGTAATGAGAAAAAAAGTAAAAGCAGGAAAAACAAAAAGAAAATATTAAATTTTCACACGTTTTACAAGTCTGGGGCTTTTAATAGAAATTTACCACAAAGAATTGGTAAATTTCTCTTATATTAAATTCTAAAAAATTCCATTTGACAAGATAATTCTAAAGTTTACACAGGTACAATGCAAGGTACACATATATCCGTATCTATGTATAGGAAAGTGTATAATACATTCTGCACGTGTGTAATATTGTGCATAATAATGTACACATATATTCGTCTTTAAATAGACTATGAATTCAGGTGTGTATGTACAATATGAAAGTTCAATAAGGATTTTTTGGATGAACATTATGAATTTGTAACATTATGTATTTGGTTTTGTGGTAACGTTAGAAACCGTTCGGAATTTCGGGTACGTTAGTACAATTTGCTACTTTTTTAAAAGATTTTGTTGCAAATTGTCGAATATTCACAAACACGCAAAAATTATTTAAATTTCGCGTTTTCTTCTTAATATCGGACAATCATTTGAATTTCAAATTAACTTCACACGAATTCTAAAAAGTAATATGCGGAACTTTTTTCGAGAATTTAGCTTTGTACGGATAATAGTTTGGAAACCTAATTAAGTGGTTTTAAAATGACTTTTGACTTGGGTTTTAAGTTTGGTTTTTTAATATAGCATAGCATTTGCACAGATAAAAAAAAACACAATTCTGTAAAAATTATGGAAAGTATATTCCTAAAACTTAATATCCTATAGTTGCCCAAATGGAATCAGAATTATTGTCGTAGCTCTTTAATATATTTATTTTTTAACCTTAATGTATAAAGAATATTATTTGAAAAATAAATGTAGTCTAAAGTTACATAAAACAAGTTAAATTGTTAATGCTCCTTGTTTTGATCTTTTCCTTGACATTTTGAGTTTTAATGCTATATACACACTTTACTCACGTTTCTCCTATATATTTTAATAAAAATGTGTACACAGACACACTTACATATATTTCTTTGCTCTCTTTTTTCATATATAAATATATTATGGCGTTCTACTAGGTATACTTGCATGGGGCTCATACTATAAGAACATTCTTTCATATTATATTTTCTTTAAATATATTACTCGTATAATGTTTTTGTATCATATTATCGGGTAATAGAAAAACGCTTCCTTTTTCCGACATTTTTAACAAAACAAAAAAAATAAAAAAGAAAAACGATAAGAGAAAAATGGTTGTAAATCTTGTGCAGTTAAAATTTTCACCATAGATAATCTCTATAAAATACCAGATTGGTATAAATTTAGTATAGTTTCACTATAACTATATATACAGTTATACACACTACACTTTTATAAAATAATGTGTGTTAAGTGTATAGTATCTAATGTTTTTTATATTATATTGAATGTTAGTTAATGCTGATTACGACAGTGATGTGTAATACAAGGTGATTATTAGTCATCAACAATCGTTCCGGAGAAAAAATTGTAAGAATGAGTAGTCAGTATGAGAAAGTAAATAAGTGCATATTTATATATTTTATTTAAAAAGAGAATGTATTTATACAAAATTTTGGTGTAAAACGATTGTTTGTGGAAAACATTCCTTTGTTAACTGCAGTATAATGGATTAAAAAATTGAAACGTATGAAAACGTGTTAAGATAAATATGGAATATGGTGTCGCAGAGCGACTTTCTCAAAATATTTTGTAATAAATTCAATTTGACGCTGGGAAGAAAGTTAAATAAAAATTATTGAAAAAAATTAGCTTCATCCAATCGATGACTACGTTTGCTTTATGTTGTACAATTCACTAACTTTGTCAAAATTTTATTAAATTTAGATATTTTTCAGGCAATTTGTGACTCAATTAACAGAGAAAATTCATACCGTATATTGCAATAACGGGCAATTAACCTACAGCTACAGTGTGTTAAAAATCAAGTGTTAAAGCTGCAGTCACACTACATTTCAATTAATCAAACTATATTTGCATTATTGTTTACACAGACATGGAATTACGAGATGACTCCTAAACGAATTACTTCTTAGACATATCAAAGCTATGTAAGATGATATTGTGGAAATTATTCTAATATCTTATAATTGATAAGAAAAACTAATATTATATTGCGAATATTTGTATAAAAAAATATACCTTAGAATTAGTACAAGCGGTTACTATTTCCTGTATTGTCCAAGGTGTAACCATAACAATAAATCCTAGTGATATCGCTGCCATGGATCGGGACGTTGACCCATTTGATGTTCTTTCCTGTATAGGAACCACCTGAAAGAGAATATTTAAAAAATGAAATTCATTAAATACATTTTACTTTTAACAGGAAAAAACTAAAAAAAAAAAAAAAACCATAAAAATTAGTATAAAAATTCTAAATGAAGAGAAAATGTAAAAAAAAAAAACAAGTAATATTTTCCAAAGCTCATATTGCAGGCGATCACAATTAAACTTTACTATTTTGTTTTGTTTGTTTAGCTAGCAGCTACTATGGTCCATACATGAGTACATAATGGAAAAACAATAAAATATAGTAATTTTAGAGAAAGAGGAGAAAATAAAATTAGATTTTTTTTTCTATCCGGTTTTAGTATTCTTCTCATAAGATTTTAAAATTAAACTGAATACACAATTTAGAAGGATTTAGAAAAAGTTGTACGATTACCGTGTAGTATAAATGTTTAAATAATAAGACCACTATGGTAATATTGTATGGTATAAGAAATTTGTTTATTTTTTTATAATGTTGGGTTACTCTTAAAATGATCTATTTGTAGATTGTGTATGGGCATTACAATATCAATGCGATTGATGTTTTACATATGAGCGTTTTGTTAAAACTAATTTCCAATTTTTTCTGTGGTGCATAGGTAATCGATGGAGGAATGTCTTCTACTATCGATTTTACAATCCCATGCACAAGCTGGAATACACCGTGTGAACACTTCTTTAAACTCTCCCATGAGAAAAAGGAGATGGCAATGTGCATTATTATCTTATGTACATGCGGAATACAAGACAATTTTACAGAATATAAGAAGTAACAACAAAATTGAACTATCATCCATAGAAGAGCAGGAACAGTTTCTTCACATCCTATGCAATTGCCAAAATTGCTTAATTAAATACTTTTTTTTTTCATTTTTGAAAATAAATCTGACAATTGGCAGTGCAGCCACAAAATTTTTTAACAATTATTGTTGAAAACATAGAATCGATTTTATTACTTTTAAGTTTTATTAAGAGAAGTAAAACAAATCAAATGAAAATCATAGAACTGCTTAGAAATTATTATTGCAATTGAAAATTAATAACTAAACTCTTAAAATCAATTAAATAAATATTGTTGAAGTTTAAATTTACTTTTCAAATGAATTTCTATTTGAATTTTCGGTTCTATTCGTATAAGTTTGATTTCTTTTTTTAATCTACTCATATGTTATTGTTTTCTATTCGAACTAAGCAAAAGCAATTTCCATCAAATAAACTTTCTCTATTCCATTTTAAAAGTTAAAAAAAAATCCCCAGGTAAAATTTAAAATCTAAAAGTTTTCAAGTGAATTTTAAAGTTTTACTCAGTTTTCTTTTTTCTGTTTTATTTTTTTTTGTCGAAGAACTAACAAAAGAACTTAAGGGATAACAATAACCTTAAGGTCTTAGAAACTTTTAAGTTTTAAATGTAATCCTTATGCGGACTTGAAAATATTTTTGAATTGATTCGGGTTAAATTTTAAAAAATAATTCCCTTTTTTTTATTTTCCTATTTCTTTAAAATTTTATCCATATAGGAATCATTTATTCCACATTTATTATCTTCATCAGGATCATTATGTTGTCTTCATTATGATGATGAAGAATGTATGAAGAAGGAAACTATATTTTAACTTGAATGTTATACAAATGTACTATTAAAATCGATTGCTTCTAGCATATTGCACATAATAAGATGGGAGCAAAAAAGAAAAATAGGGATGAAAATTTAAATTCTTTAAAATATGTGCTAAAAATTGAAAAAGAATGAACTTTTAAAAACAAGCTAGTATAATATTGGCTCATTTCATTTTAAAGTACTTAAATTAACTTTCACATTTTAGCCCTCTGTAGGCTACCTGTGGCTTAAGAACTAGATTTAATCAACTGCTTCACTGGCGAGCAACGGAAAATTCTGGCAAAACTTAAAATGTATCACAAACATCAAATTCTTCTTCTTCGATAATTTCATATCTCTTTTAGTTTTTTGGTTAAATTTGACTAACTATTTAATGTGTCCTAAAACTAATTTTCTCATTATCGGAAAAGTATGGCTAAAATTGTGTGGACACTTAAACTTGTTCCTCATTCATGTTCATTTGAAATCTTGAAATGAATTCTTCACATTTTTCTAATGACTTGACAGTCTCCGTTACAGCGAGCCGTTTACATTTAAAACCAATGGACACATTAAAGTTCCAGTTCATAAAAGTTCATTTTCAATAGTTATAATAGGAAATAAGCTAAAATTAAAAAAGAAAAGAAAAAAAAATTAATATATGTAGGTAACGAACAATTCCAATAAAGTTAATATAGAAAAAAACCAAGGATTCGAATCCACAGATGAAATACGATTCTAAAGAAAAAAGTTTTTACAATGGATAATAGTGAAGAATAATAGTAGGGTAAAGAAGACAATTGTAAGAAAATAAAATTTTAAAAATTATGAGAAAATTATGCTATAAAGGATTGGAAGAAATTTATTGCTTCAAATTCCACTTTTTTATATTTCTTATGAAAAAAATGTAGTTCAGATTATAAAAATTTTTTTCAAGTTGATGTTAGTGTTCCAAATATGAGATTATTTTATGCAAATATTATGAAGAACTTAAAATTTTATCTTCAAAGACCTCGAACATATAATAATAAATAAAGTATGCTTAGATAAGTATACCTTGTGAGAGAATCAAAAGAAAATCACAATTCATAAAATTCTACTTAACGTCTTCAGTCAACTTAACTCATTTGAGGTTAAGTTTTGATTTTTGAAACAAGTAAGTTTTGAAATTGAAGTTTGAAAAATTCTATTTTATGTTTTTACTTGAAATTCAATTATTTATTCTCTAAAATTTCTACTTAGCATGTAAATTACGAGCATTTTTTAGCTGAAAACATGGAGAGCATTAGTAACTTAGGTAATTAGGCATGTGAATATTACCATATAATGTAAGTATTAATTATAAAATTATAAAAAAAAAATTTTTTTATTAAATTTAAATACCTTTTTTGTTATTGTATTTGCTGTTGCTATTAAAACTGGTATTGTTGATGGTAAACTACCAACTGGTGTTGATTGTAATGATTGATGAAATTGATGTATTGGATGTGCTGATGGTGGTAAATCGTTGAGTCTAAAACGACTCATATGAAAACTAGAACCATAACAGTACATTAATACCATTGTTGTTGGAAAATATAGTGCACATGTAGCCAATATTCTATATGACGGCTTATAATAAAATGGTTCACATGCCATTAGGCCTGTATTATTAAAATAATATCCTGTGGGAAAAAATGAATGAATTAAAGATTTAATTGAACTCTGAATATTATTAATTTTTTTATTATAGCAAAAAACAAACAATATTTCGTAATTCTTACCTTTTGGTAATACTAAACAACCAAAAACTGTTAAACTAATAACCCATGTTAAACTTAATATTGCAACACATCCCTGAAATAAAATAATAAAAATTTTTAAAAATATTATTCCAAAAAAATATAGTTTTAATTTGGAAATTAAAGTTAATTTGGAAAAAGATTCAAGATACGAGTACTCTTTAAAAATTTAGGTTTTTTTCTTATAGTATTGAGTTCCAATGAAGTAGGCCTCTAAACATGCCTAATGAGCAACTTTTGAGTTTATTACACTCCTCTAATATGCCCTTTCATGTCAAAATGAGAAGGTAAATTTCATGAATGACAATTCAAACATTGAAAACGGCCACCTACTACTAGATGGCGCTAATTTGCTTTAATCATTTTCATCCTATTAATTTAAATTATTTTTTTTAATTAGCAATTTGCTGTTAACCTTTTAAAAGAAAAATTGACACTTCTGTCATATGTTAAATAAGATTTACCAAAACAGCATTTATGATATTTAATAATTAAATTTTTAATAATAAGCTGTGAATTTTATCATGTCCCAGCGAAAATAATTTTAATTGAAAATTTTGTTTTCCCTTGAAAAAAAAAAAAAATTTAATGTTAATTTTTTTAAATGAAAATTAATTGAAATTAAAATATTTTTGACATTGCAACACATTGCATTTAAAAAATTTTAATCAATTTCTAATCAACATAATTTTCATTAATTTACAAAATTCCTTAGAGGCGTGTTAATGGAAAGTATTCAATATAAAAAAAAATTTAACGAAGGTCATGTTAACAATATTAGGGTGGTAATTTGCGAAAAATACAAAAAAAAAAATTTTCCCCCACCACTAAAAATCAAAAATTCCGATGAGATTTTTAAATTGAAGTCAAATTAGCTGTAAAGTGTTATAGATGGTTTCCTCTAACTTTTTTTGCTCTTTTGCTTTTACAAAAAATTGATGATGCAAAATGCACACATTTTATATTTTTTATATGCATAAAAATTTTATGTTCACTCAATTGAAATTTTTCATTGTGGAAAATTCAATATTACAACAAATAAAATGTTATTGAGGATTTTAGTAAAAGGGGGGGAAAAATCTATTGTTTTTTTTTGCATTAATTCTAAAAATGTAGTTTAGAAAATTAAAAACTCATCAATCTTTATGCATTTTCAATAGCAAAATAATATGATAGTTTCAATTAGATGTTAAAGTGTTATTGAATAATGGTAAAGCCATTAAAAATATTTATAGTAAATTGATTTTGATTGATTATTTAAACAATGCAGCAGCTTATAGGTTTTTAGAAACAGGATTTCGTTTTAGTTCCTGATAAAATTGTGACATTTTATTAAAAATGATTTGAAATGTTTCTTTTTTGTTATGAAGGTATGATTGAAAGTATGCCTGCAATTAAATGTGTGCCCGAATTGAAGCTTGATTTGATTTTTGAACCTGTAAAAAGAACTTTCATTGTAAGATGTTTTCATTGATGGACAGAAAATTGGTGATGGGGTTGATTTGAAAGCATTTTCCGAGATAGAGTAAAATTCGAGTATTACCATTTTATCGAAAAATAAAGTGAAGAAAAGTCTGCTCCCCTGTAGAGAAGGCATTAAAACACAAAATGTCAAAATGTCATCTTTTAATTCATGTCATTAAAGAACGACATGTCACAAGGTTCCTAATCATATCGTATATTAACATATCTAAATCGCCATATGGTGGCGGTTTATGCGGGATATTGCCTTATAATTAAAGATACTACTGACTTAAGTGTTGCCATTTAATCCTTCATTCTTTTTGAAGTTGAATAAAAAAACTTTAAATTTTTAAAGAACATCAACCGGTTAGAATTAAATTTTTCAAAATTGAGAAATAATATTAGAAATTTAATTTTTTTTAAAGTTTAAATTTTATTTTTTAAAAATCCATGAAAATTTTGAAAACATCCTTGTCCTCGAAATCATCAAAAGATTAATTTTTTTTTTCATTTCACATAAAAATGATTTTAAACAAAAAAATTACTTCGAAAAACTTAACCTTGTTTATAAAATTCTTTTGTTCTATTATATTATGCATATCATACTTGTCGGTATACACGGGTGCAAAATTTTTAAAGAAGTCTTTTAATTAAATTTAATTAAAAGGCTTTAAGTGAAAAAAATAAAACAAACTGTTAAATAATTAAGAGGAGAAAATTTATCAAAATTTTTAATTAAAGTCATCCTTTTGTATTAAATTTTAAACATACGCGCACATACATATTTTCCGATAATATGTAAATTAAATTTTTTTTTGACAGATGACAACTTAACGCATTTAGTAGTTGTTGTTTGAGGTTTGAGTCAAAAATTAAATTTGAATTGCTTTAAAATTAAAATTTGAAGAGTCATTTTAGATTTTCCTACTTTCCTAAAGAATTCACGTTGGTTATGCTGATCTCATGCCATTTTCTTTTTCATGCGACTCTTCAATATACATACGCATGTACCGTTGATTTTTCTAACATAACGCGTACCTCTACTGTATTTCAGCTAAAAATTGTGAAAGCGATCTTAAATATCAATCAAAATTTTCGAAATTGAAAAAGTAATTGTAAATATTTACAAAAACAAGAAGAAAAGCACTAAAAAATCTTTTGACCCCAAAATTGCCTTCCATGATTCTAATTTAAATTTAGAATTTTTAAGCTTCGATATTGCATTCAGTTCAAATGTTAAATCATTTAAAACCAAAGAATTTTTGTCATTGAAAAAATTCACCAGAGTTATTCTAATTTTTATTCATTAAGAACCGCAAAAAATATTTTGTACAAAACAAAAAAAAAAAATAATACGAGAGAATGAGAAAAAACTTCTTTTTTTTTTAGAAAGTTCATTGAGGCGTCAATTTGACCAAATATTACAGAATTGCAAGCGAAAAGATTTAGGTGAAGCAAAAAAATTTCATTTCATTTGCTTGTTTCTTCATTTTCTTTGTTACTGATTTCATTTTTAAAAAAATTTTAAATGTATACAAGTGCGAACATAGCATACAAATTATTTTGTCAGTCAGGACTTTCAGGTATGTGTGTGTTTCTACATCCGTCCACTTCAAACCAAACTAACTGTTACGGTCAAAAAGTAAAATTTAATAAATTTTGCTTATTTTAAATGAAATTACTGGAAATATTGAACAAATTTACTTTTTTTCGGTCTGCGATCGTTGCGTTCAAGTTAATATAAATTCCGGGTATTAACTGTTTGATTTACGTATGATTCATATGGAAGAATTTCTATTTTCCATTTGTGAAGGCAGCCTTGCCCTAAAGTCAATCAACTTTACTTCGGATTTGCTATAACCTTTACGATTTAATTTGTCGTTGGATGTGAGTTGGATCTAAGTGATTCGATTAATCAAGGGCAGTGTTGCCATTTGCATTTCATAACATTTGAGCAAAAGAGAGGAACGGCATTTTCTCTTAATATTTATTTGATAAGAAACAGTAGCAGAAAAACTTAAATAAGTTTTTCGTTTATAACTAACTGCCTATATACTTAAATTTTTTGTTTGTAAGATGCCACATTCCCTCATATCTCATACAATCGATATTGAAATCTCATACAATTTGCACGCATATATAAAGAGAGAGAAAAGATATTGTTAGTGCCACAAAATTTTTTAAAATATCGTTTTACAATTTTAATGAGAGTGAGAGAGTGAAATTGATTAGATTGGTATGCATTTCAATTTTAACACAATTTAAATGATACGTAAGTGAGTGGTTCTTACCAAATGAATTTGATTGAAAATAGTTATAAAAAGAAATTCCGTTTTCCAAAATTTTTTGGTTTCAATTTCCTTTTAATGTCAAAAAATATGATATTAGACTAGAGGCACATAACAGTTAATAAATAAAGAGTATTTGAGAAATTTTCACAAATTTTTGTTAACAGACAACAAAATTTTCACTCAGGAATTTTTATTTCTATTTTTTTTTTCAAATTCTTCCGGAACCAAATTTAATATAAAAAAAAACAACTAAAAAAAAATATTTCAATTTTTTTGTCATATTTTTTTTGTCGTTTCTACTTCGTATGGATGAATGTTCAGACAAGAAGGTTGAATAACCTCTATATGTAAAACATACACGTACAAACATAATGATTTTTTACCTGGGAAAATTATTCGTATAACATAATACGGGATTGAAAAGGGTAGTAAAAAATTTTAGGAAAATTTTTTCAATATTAGAAAAAAAATAAATTTATTTTGTTTAAAGAGGAAAGTAATTAATAGAGGCTAACTTTAATTTTATTTTAAAATAATTTATTTATAAAAAAGCTGGATATGATGACTTAGTGTAGTAAAAAATATTGGAAAAAGTTTTAAATTAGTTAATTTTTTTGTTCCATCAATACTTTCAGCCGCAATATTTATTAGTAATAATCGATTAAATTGTGTTTGAATATGAAAACATATTCAACATGTTTGATTCGTATACAACAAGTTTGATAGGCTTAAAATATTGTAATACATTTTTGTTTAAAATATTCATATTCAAATTTTTAAATACGTATTTTTTTTTTAATAATATTAATTCATAAGAGTATTATAAATTGAAAAAGTATATTATGGTCACTAAAATGATTTGAATAAATTTATAAAATTTACATTAATTTAAAAAAAAAAAAATTACAATAGCATACATCTTTTTTCTAGTAAAGAGGATTACAATCAGTTAATAATTCTATCTACTAATGGAATTTTGAGAAAGAATTATCAGAGAAAACAATATACCGCCACTGTATTGTAAATTTTAAATACAAATAACACTTGCCGAACCACAAAAAATATTTTGAACTTACAAAAAAAAATATGCAATTAAATCAAGCGTAATTAAATAAATACGAACGGACAAAAAATTTTATTTAATCCTAGATGAAAGAAAATTTATTATAAAAAAAATAAAATGACGATATAGAAAAGAGAATACAAAATTTACCTTTTTACTAGAATGCATATGGTATCTAGTCGGATGAAGAGCACACATGTATCTATCGACTGCCATGCATACTAATATTACAGCACTCTGTTGTGATAAGGCTCCACGTAATAAAGCCTGTGAATAAAAGATTAATAAATTTTTATTTCTTTCTTTTTGTTCTAAAATTTTATTTTGATTTGAGAAAGAAAAAGAATTATAGAAGGAATAGGATAGCAAAAAACCATTATCAATTAAAGAATACAAAAAAAACACTGTTTGCGTTGTCTTGTGTTATTTTTTTAAATTTTAAATTGCAAATTTCATTTTCAACTAAAATTTGGTACCATGACTAATTTGTAATAACCACAAGTTTGTTATAATATATCTATATCGTTTGTTATATAGTATCTATAGACGAAAATGTTGACTAGAGTAGCCCCCTTAATTTTAATAGCCGACTATTTGGGTTCGTTGATCTTCGGATTTTTAAATATTTGTATTGTCAATGTAATGCATACATAAAATTGTCTACAGGTCTTTAGTTAAGTGACGGCTTTATGCTGCCTTACGAAAATAAATTTTAAAAACAAATCGACGGGGTTAACAAATGAAAAGTTAAGTGACATTTTCAGCAAAAACCAGGTTTTTATTACTTAGTCTTTTCTAATTACTTAGTCGCAAATAAAATATTATATTTTATTTGTTAACAGCTTGTTTCTTAAAACCATCTGTGTGTTCCATCTAATAGCGAGTTGTATGATTTACAAGAAAATAGTGTAAGTTATCGCACAAGAAGAATCTGGAATATTAAGACACAAACTTAAAATGCAAATCATTGGAAAATAAAATATCCACTAGGACACTAGCAAAATCCATTTTCCATAATATTGCAAGATCTTTTAATTTCAAATTTCATTAAAAAATTTTTTCCTGTGTGAAATTTTTTTAAATTTTTAATATCCGTGTACACTGCAATCTACAGTAATCAGATTGCATTATCATTTTTATTATCTCATGCATTTTGATTTTTTTTATATCCTTTCATAAGTAAACAGTCAGGACAGAGAAATGTTCCTTTGAACTTAAAAATTCAGAAGTAAAAGTTTAAGGTATTTAAAAATAATTTTTTTTACTTGATTTTTAGGAATGGTAATTAGATTTTTTGATGTTGGTTAAGTTAATTTTGATATTACCATATGAAAATAGTTGTTTGTATGAAATTATTATCTTAGATCTTGCCTTCTGTTAAAGCGGAAAAAATCCTTTTAAAAGGATATAAAAAGGTCATTCATTAGAATTACAAACTAATTAGCAGAATTGCAAGCAGAACGAAAAAATCATCCATGGTGGTGCTTTAAACGAAAGAAGCGAAAACAAAAAAAAACATTAATCCCCTTTGCAGTTTTTGTTGTTAATATTGCCAGTTTTAATGTAAAGGAGGATGATAAAAGACAAAACATATTAAAAGTAAAATATAGTTTAGATTTTTTCAAAGAAAAATTTTTCAAAATCATTTTTTAACTTTGTCGTTTCTTTAAAATTTCGGTGATTCCAGTTCTGTTAAGTAAAAATTTCTTAAAAGTTAATACTGGACGGCGTTACTCGAACTGTATCATCGATTATGCGATTAAGTAATTAAACAGTTTGTAGTTTTTTACAAACTCATTGCAATTTAGCAATTTCAAATAGTTCAGTTTTTGAAAACTGTTATTTGCAAAATTAAAAATTGCATGGCTGCCAGAGCCCTTTATTTTTAAAGTAATTTTTGGGTTTCGAACTCATGTCTGGATTTCGGATCTAAAAGAAAAACAAAATTATTTGACATACCCCCATTATTATGTTTTATAGAATATAAAATGTTTTTTAAAATTTATTAACCAATAATTTTACCGAATATGAAAATTTAATCGTAAAATTACTCTACAAACAGGTTTGTTAACATTAATAAACACATTAAACTAAATATGAATAAATACATATACATTATTTTTATTTATCTTACCTGAATTTGGCAGAATATCTCACCGTAAGGCCAACAATGGAATAATGATGGTATAAGACCAAATGGTGTTATTAAAAGACCAATAGCAAGGTCGTTAAGAGCTAACGATGTGAGTAAATAACGCGGCTAAAATAAAAAAAAAAAAAACAGAAAAACAATAATATATTTTCAATCGTTAAAATTAATTAAAATTTTAATGTTATCTAATATTTTCCAAATAAAAAAAAGAACAACAACAATGGTTAACAATTAGTTTTTATTTATTTTTTATGGGGAATTGCAAGGATGCTCTCTTCAAGGATTTAAGAATTTAGAGCAATAATAACACCTTGGAAAAACAAAAAATTATACGGAGGTATTAAAGTACAAGAAAATCATTAATTATAAAGAAACAGGAACTGGCAAAATTTTGGTTTTTAAAAGTAAGTGGAAGGCAGAATAATTAAGATAACTGCTTGATAATAAGGGGGCACTAATATATTTCCGGATTTGATAAATTTTTTGTATGAATTAACTTTGCAGGAACAATATGACTACTTAATCTTATACAATCTTATCTTAGTAATGAAATTTTTCTTATTTTGAATATTTTTAATTTTCTCTTCCACATTTTAAAATTGCTTGACCTTTCATATAATAATAATTTTAATAATTTTTAGATTTTTTGATTATTTCATACTCTTTGTATGAAAGACAAAAATGGTTTTAAAACAAAGCAACATTGTAACAGGACGGACGGTGGAGTTGTAATAAAATTTAAAAAGTTATTTTGAACATCTAATTCACTTAAAGGCTTATTTAAACTACGATAGTGGAAAATCATTATAATTTTTCAAAATTGTTAGAATATGAACTCCGGGTTATTTGGCCTTGTCCAGCTACGGCGGATCTCTTCCTAGATTGAATTCCTTTCTCCGCAACTTGTACGGCGGGTCTCTACCTAGATGGACTAGTATGGAGAAAAAAAAAATGGAAAATACATCGATGAATCCAGCACTCTGAATAAAAAGCCGAAAAGGGATTTGGCAAAGCCAATTCCTCACAGCAAAACTGGACCTTACAGAGGGCGAGTCCACTACCAAAGCCGGAGGTAACCAACAGAAATGCGGTAAGCACTGTTGCTAAACCGAAGGCGAAACAGGAACCCCAAAGGCTATGACAAAGTTAGGCCCAGTACCGGTGATAGCTCATGGGGTGCAGCCACGAAGACTTCCCGGAGTATAGAAAGGGCTCCGAATAAAAATGTGAAGAATAAATTTGAAAAGGATTGGCCGTATTCCGGAAAAAAATAGGTCGGATAAAGGAAGGTCCGCATGCAACTGGGCAAAGAGTATAGTAGACAAGCACACAAGCGAGAAGGGGATGGCTACTAAGCGTCAACGCACCACAGAGTAACCACCTCGAGAAGCTAAGAGACCCAGGCCACCGAACTAAACTTCAAGCGTCACAAGGCCTTGCAATGATATCCTTAAAGACCATCTAATCGTTGCATCAACCAGGCAAAAGATGATGGCAGGATCACAGCAGAAAATTGGCGCAAAGTACAAATTCGGCTTATGGCAAACTTCCAACAAATCTTGAAGGAAAATCCAGGCCAATATCCCTCGTACAGAGACCAAGGCTGGCACCAGGGTTGTGTGAAACTTGTGGCCTGTGCAGATAGTAGGTCGCTGGGCCTATACACGAAGGCATTAGTAAGGATAGGAGAAATCTGGCCAGGCGCGAGACTCGCGGTCGTTGCAAAGGAAGATTTCCTAAGCAGAGCGCGAGCTCGTGCCTGTATTCCATCTGAGCCGTCAGATATGGAAACAATCTTAGAGATGATCCAACTTGGAAACCCAAATTTGCCAACTGTCAACTGGAGGGTAGCGTGAAGATAAGAAGGGCGACTATAGACAGGCCCTGGTTATATTGAATAAAGAATCGCTGGCTCCTCTGAAGAAGCAGGGGTTTGTGGTCAATTATGGGTTCTCCTCTACAACACTAAAGGTGTACAAAACGGACACTAGGATGCAGGGAACCCAGAAGGCGAAGGACGATGAAGAGAACGTCGTCCCAGAACGTCGTCTGTTCAGACACGGCTTTCATGATAAGCAGAAATGCTGGATGAATCTGACAGACGACGACGACATGCACCTCGATCTGGAAGGGGCCCTGTCGATCCAGGACCTCGACGATGATGCAAAGAAAACGTTGGTTGAAGTTCACGAAAGCAGTAATGCTTCGAATAACCCAGATCGACTTCCACCACTTACAAAGGGGCGGAGAAGACACAGTTCTGGTTCAGAGACCCTGGCTGGCAGGTGGAGGGATCTGAGAACTCAGGGCGGCGAACTACAAGCTGTTTTATAGCTACAGCGGCGCAAAGGTAAGGTTATGCATATTAATTAAAAGTAACTTAAATGCTTTTCTGTTGATTTTTACAGCAATAAAGATTTGACTGCAGTCAGTCTCGAGGTCGGTGGCAGGATCTCCTGGTGGGCCTTAGTATACTTGCCCTATGATTCCCAGGGGATACTTGCATCTAGTAATCTGAGAGCCTTGGTGGAGAAGGCACAATCTCTTGGCACTGGCCTCATCATTGCAGGCGATGCCAATGCAGATCCCGCGATCTGGGGAAGCTCGGATACTAGAAGTGAGTCACTTTTTGATTGCATCTTGAGTTCTAACCTCACACCACGTAGTAGTTGTGCCGCTAGAGGGTATGCTTCCGTTCTTGTGGACTGTGAACATGCTGTGAAGGCAATTGATTATGTTCCCCCGGTGCTTTCATTCACGAGAAACTTTGGGACCTCGATTCCGCTTAGGGAAGCCTGGCTGAACGAAAGAGTTGCTGACGACGGATCGGTTCTTTTTTACACGGACGGATCCAAACCCGATGGCAGGGTTGGTGAGGGAGTTTATTCTGAGCAATTAGATGTTGAGGTGTCCTTCTTCTGTCGGATCAGCGTAGGGTATTTCAGGCAAAGGTGGTCGCAATTGGGGATGGCTCTGCGCTGGCTTGATTGGAATGTCGTACCGCCTGGTGGCGTCAGTATTTTCACTCGCTGGGTTCTGAAGTCTCCACGTTTAGAACGGTCCGGTACTGCCGATCGTCTCTCAATGAGATGGCGGGGTAGTTCGAAATAAACTTGTTCTGGGTCCCCGGACACAATGGAGTTCCGGGGAACTGCAAGGCGGACGAGCTTGCGAGGCATGGAAATACTTTGTGGGTTCCGCCTGAAAAGGTGAACTTAGGCATTCCTCTAAGAACCCTTAGGTTGCTGCTGCGCAACGCGGCAGTGGAGCACACCCACCTTAGATGGGCTAATGGCGCAACACGAAACGCGATAAGGAATTTGTGGCCAAAGCTGGATTTCCATCTACTTTATTTTTGCATTTACTGATGTTCTAGCTCATAGATTTATGAAGGATCACCTCGATATTGCCCTTATCCAAGAGCCTTACATAGTGAAGGATCAGGTTAAGGGCCTAACAGGTGAGCTATTGTATGATAATACAATTGGGGGCAGGCCTAGGGATTGCATTTTGTTTAGTAAAAGGCTAACGTATTTTTTCATTCCAGATTACTGTTCTAAGGATCAGGTAGCTGCGTTGGTGAAGGTGAAGTCCTTCGGGGGCTGGACAGAGTTCATTGTGTGCTCATCCTACCTCCCGGGGGACTGTGCCAACCCGGACGAGCAACTGACGGATCCAGTGAACTTTTGTGAAAGGAGGAACTTCCAACTTATAATAGGAAGTGATGCCAATGCCCACCATACCGTCTGGGGAAGCAGCAATATAAACAAAAGAAGTGAATGCCTACTTGAATTTATATATAGCAATAAATTAATGGTTATGAATGAGGGCAATAGGCCGACATTCATAAATGCAATTAGGGAAGAGGTCCTTGACATCACCCTTTGCACTGAATTTATCGGCAGTAGGGTTGGTGGATGGCATGTCTCAAATTAAACTTCCATGTCCGATCATAGGCAGATTAGGTTTGATATCATGGTCTCCGGGGGCCTGGCAGAAGAAATGTATCGGGTAACCCAATCCACAAATTGGAGTCAATTCGAAACGCTCCTCATGGATGGGATTGGATCCGTTCCTGCTTCTGTCAGAACGGTGATGGATATCGAACTGGCCAGCGTGGCTCTGACGGCGCCTATTACTAATGCCTACCATGGGAGCTGCCCCGCTAAGCCGAGGCGGAGCAATAGGAAGTGCCCGTGGTGGAGTGAAGAGCTTTCAAGGCTTAAACTAAAAACCAGAAAGCTATTCAATAAGGCCAAGGCGTCGGGTTCGTGAGAAGAGTATAAAGATTCACTCACAAAATACAATAAAGAAATTAGGAAAGCGAAGAGAATCTCCTGGAGGGCGTTCTGCAAGGGCATTGATGAACTCTCCAGGGTGCTTTCCAAAAAGTATGCTAGCGGGTTAGGCCTAATGGAACGGCCTGATGGCTCCATGACTGAGAACGGAAAGTAGACGTTGGAGCTTATGGCGTCAACGCACTTTTCTGACTCGGAGATTCTTCGGAATCACTCAAATGCGGTCATTGAACCGAAGGCATCCTGGTCCAGGAGGGATGACTGGCAACAATCCCGTCTAGTCTTCACGATGGGCAGGATTAAATGGGCTGTTTTCTCTTTCAGGCCCTTCAAATCTCTAGGTGATGACGAGATATATCCTGCATTTTTGCAGAGGGGTTTCCAACATATCGCCAGAGCACTGTTGGAAATTTTTCGTGCCAGCTATGCGTGGGGTTACATCCACGTCCAATCAGCCTTACTTCTTTTCTATTAAAAGCAATGGAAAAAGTGATTGATAGATTTATACGGGACGATGCATTGGGAAGCAATCCCTTGCATGAATCTCAGTACGCCTATCAGTCGGGAAGGTCTACTGTACTCGCTCTGCAGAGTCTGGTGGGGGTACTTGAAAACTCACTGGAGGTGCGGGAGGTGGCAGTTGGCTGCTTCCTTGATATAGAGGGAGCTTTTGACAATACCCCATATCATGTCATCTGTCAGTCGTTGCACAAACGAAGGATTGATGCAACGGCTATCAGATAGGTTAATCGGATGCCTCCTGTGATCAATTGTAGTGGATGATCTAATCGCTGCTCTCAGGGGCTCCGG